ACACAGACACACACACACACACACAAATGCCGTGCAACCCACTGAAAGAAGCATAAATTCAAACTCTGACTCAAATCTCAAATCTGAACCAACAGCTATATGACCTTGGACAAACCGGATACACAAATCGTTATTCTTTAAGGTAGGGAATAAGATCAGATTATCACCCTTGCTGTGGTAGTTAATTAATTGAAGCAAATAGTGAGATGTCAAGAAACATCGGTTCTCTGTCTACCTTTTAACAAAGAAATTGAGTTGGAAAAGAAAATCCTTTGGACCAATTGCCTACTTTCTCTCAATGTGCTATTTCTCTGCTAAGAAAGCTATGGCCTTCCCAGGCAAAGAAAAGGTGTTCAGCTATCCTGTACCTCTCAAAATCTCTTATGCTGTATGTAAGTATGGTCCCCAAATTCTACACAATGGAGCCTCTCTACATGCTCCAGCTGATAGAGTTTGTTCCATTCACTTTGCACTGGTTTCACATAGTTGTGAGCCAATGGTGCCAAATCCATTTGACTTGTTTTGGGGTATTGCTACCTGACTTATTATTTTCCCCCAAACAGTGGTAAGTAGCTTTTCTTCCAACACAGAAGAGCCCTTCCAAGCCACCATTTCAATTTTCTTAAACAAAACCTTTGAAGATACATGGTGATGATACCAGCACCAGATCAAGTATCACAATCTTACCTAAAGAATCCATGATGACCTGAAAAAATGTATGTGGCAGAACCAGGGTGATCTGATCAACTTTTATAGCAACTTAGGAAAGAACCATTTCAGTGTACACCAAATGAGTACCAGCTACTCGCCATGCATCAGATGTCATAGAAGAGTGTTTGGAATGTTTGCATGTTTAGAGTGCTAAGTCTCTAGGTGTTACAGGGTGAGGGAAATGCAAATGAGCATCTATGCATAAGAGAACAGAAAAGCAATGCAAGCCTTGAAAGGGCACCAGAAAAGAAGAAATTCCAGTAAACTAGAAAGGTCGAGGAAAGAAAGAAAATCAGTGTCTCGCAGTCAAACTAAAACAAGAGAAAACCCCAATTTTCAGTGGCATCAAATACATCGAAGGACTGAAGAAAGAGAAGCAGCAATAAGTGATCTGACCAAGAGGAAGTTCACGGTGGTTTCTGAGATTAAGTGGTTTCTGGGTAGGTAGGTGGTTTCTCTTATATAAACACTGGCTTATATAAAACAGGGTATTTAGATCAACATCTTGGTTTTTCCTAGAACATTAGAGACTCATTATAATTAAACTCACTCATTCATTTATTTATTCCATTAACATTTATGGTGCTCTCATAGGCACCTAACTCCACTAAATTCCATGGGGTAGGGCACCAAATAGAAAAGCCATAATTAAATCACAATGCTCCTTTCTTAAAAGCAATCAGGGCAGAGTTTTAAACTAGAAAGTTTAAGGTGAAAGTCTCATTTCCCTGTAGCTATTTTCAAATTATATATTCTTCTAATACAGTAGCTTTTTGTTTTCCTTTTTGTGTGTTTTTGCCTTTTGTTTTTTAAATTAGGAAGGTTTGATTTGTCAATCTAGAATCAGGAAAATGGAAAAAAGTAAAATCAGAATACTGCAAGGAAAGGCAGGAATGGAATTTTTATCTTGTGTTAAGATTTTACTCTACAAACACAGAAACCCACACAACATGGTCCAAAGTAACCAACGTTCTTCAGTTTCACACACACGCACGCACACACACACACACACACACACACACACACACACACACACACAAATGCTTATATTGCCTTGCATCTCATAATTTAAGCGATCTGTTTGGCCACATCACTGGCAAAGTCCTAACTTGGACGCTGACAGGAGGTTAAAAAGAGAAAGTCTCGAAGAATCTTCTGCGAGCTCTGAGGGAAAACAGAAATGGTATTTATACCTTATATTAGGTATGTATGTCCACAACTTTGATGCCCAAAACATAAACAAAGCACCCACATGGAGCAGGCCATGATAAATGACCAAGAATTCCACTTTTTCAGAAAATATGTCTACAGAGCTCTGTGTCTCTAAGTGGAGCTCAGAGCCCCCTTACAGTGAAAAATCTGGTGCCTGACAGTAAAACAGCTCACTGGATACATTCAACACATCAAAGATGAAGAATCATTTTAAAATTTAAACCTGGGTATGATGTAGAGAAAAATAGAAAGTTTGCCAGATTTTTATAAAAACAAACCTTCAAAGGTATTTTTTATATATATAAAGACTTAAATGCAGGCCTGTGTCACAAAGAAAATTCATTCAGTGAGCTATTATGGGTGTCAGCACAGGAAGGGACAGATACATTTGGCCCAGTGGAAAGTGCATAAGCTTGACTGAATCCCTCACTCCTGCCAGCTATTCTAATCAGCCAAAGTGTGAAAAACTTTTCACAGCTCAGATAGAATCTGAAAAAGCCAGGGCACACATTTACATCAGAATTAAGGTTTACAATCCAATATTCGCAAACATATGACAGCTTTATAAGTGGCCTTTTGTACTTTGCCACCCAAATAAGCCTGACTTGAAACTAATGAAGCCATTCAGATGTGTAGTAAGAGGTTCTTTTGTTTGTTTGTTTTCTACTTCCCATATTTTAATTTCCTACAGTTTTTAGTGAGGGGGGAACCCTCACTTGTAAACTAAAAACTTCACGAGGCTTTTCAAGATCAGCAATGTCTTTGACACATAATTAAGAGGAACATGGAAAGTGCTCCAAAAATGGGCAACAGAATCCATGTTAGAACAGACCCCCACATCAACTCCCCTCCCCTTTCATTGGACTGCCTTGTGTGAAAAGGATGTGCTTAGTCCTAATGCAACTTGATGTGCCAGGGTGGGCTGGTATTGGGGGTCCCCTTTTCTGAAGAGAAGGGGAGGGGGAAGTGGGAAGGGGGTGGGGCCAGGAGGAGAGGAGGTAGAGGGCTGTAATCAGGATGTAAATTGAATAAATAAAAATTTGTAAAAGCCAAATGGTGGCGCATGCCTTTAATCCAAGCACTCAGGGAGCAGAGAGGCAGGTGGATCTTGTGGGTTTAAGGTCAGCCTGGTCTACAAAGGGAGTCCAAGACAGCCAAGGTTACAAAGAGAAACCCTGTCTCAAAAAAACAAAACGAAACAAAAAAAAGGAACATGGAAGACCTCTACGATGATCCTTCTCTCCAACTCAATTCACCACACCACCCCCCAAGAAAAGAATGATAGCCTGAAGAGGAGGCCATTTAGGAGAACTAAAAAAAAAAAATGTAATGGAGATGCTGAGGTGTGGCTCACCACAGTTCATGGTTTCTGGCAGGGATGAAAGTAGAGAAAGTCTCTGCTTCTTTTGCGGGCAGGCCACTGGGTGTTTGACCATGCTTCAATGATTGTATAGACAACACAAAATGGATTTTTTTTCCTTTGGGAAAGGGGGGAGATGTCACAGGAAGGGAGGCAGACATAGAAGGGCTGGGATGTGATTGAGATCAGGGTGCCTGACATGAGATTCCCAAATAATCAATAAAAAATATGTTTAAAATGTCTTTGAAAAACTACTGTGATGGGGGCTGGAGAGATGACTCAGTATTTAAGTACAATATCTGCTCTTCCAGAAGACCCAGGTTCAATTCCCAGCACCCATATGGCAACTCACAACTCTCTGTAAGCCCAGTTCTAGGTATCTGACATCCACACACACACACACACACACACACACACATCAATATACACGAAATAAAAACTAATAAATTATCAAAAGAAAAGAAAAATTGTTGTGATGACCATTCAGATACTTGTTTCCTTACTGTCACTGACCTCTACACCTAGAAATCTGATTTATCACTTTTGGAGTGTTTTCACCTTTGTATTGCTATCACCCTTAATGTCAAAAGCCACACCTGCTAGAAATTTAAGAATATCCCTTTTTGCACAACTCCAAGCTTTCAACACATGTATGTGAAATTAATTAACTAGGTTTTGTTTTTAGCATATACTAATTGAACAAAGTGGGATTCATTATCATATGTGTATTTGTGTACATTTGTTCATAGGGAGTATACACAGTAACCCTGTTAAGTGTTGTTCCTCAAGTACCATCCATACTTTTTCTTGAGATAGTCTCTCACTGGCATGGAATTCACCAAGTAGACTAGGCTGGTTGGCCATCAAGCCTTAAGGATCTACCTGTGTTTAAACAACCCACCCCAGCACTGGCATTACAAACAACACCTTGCCTGGCTGTTTTAAGGTGGGGTCCATAGATAGAACTCAAGTATTTGTACTTTCAGGCCATAGCAATCAGGTTAACTGAATTACTTCCTAGCACCACAGTTTGTTTTGGTTCCATGCTTCTTTCTTTTTTTGCAAGACTAAGAACTAGGGACCCATGCCTGCCAGGCAAGTGCTCTACCTCTGGTTCCCAAGCCCAGCCTTTCATTACGTTTTTATGCATGTATATAATGTACTCATATCGTATTTCACTAACCTCTCTTATATCGTCTTCTCCTCCAACTTTGTCATCAAAAACAGAGTAGTTTTTGTCCACTTTATTTATAATACTCATTGACTCCTAACCATTAAATCTGGGACTACGTGATAAAACCCGGCTCACTACTGGATGCACAGATTCAAAGTCAAAGAAATAATAATTTCATTATCCTAAAGATGCAGGCTATATGATATTTTAGACAACTTTTCAATGCAAACTATACCACCATAAAAGCCTGACCTTTTAAGAAAATACTAAACACATGCTATTAATGACTTAGAATGTGATTTATCATAGAGGATACTATTTTTGACAGGGATATTATCTTTTAATAATAGTCAAGGCCTTGGCCTTACCTTTCATCCTTAAATGTAGGGCTTCACTTTCTCAGTAGGAAACAACTATCTCAGTAGATTTTCTAAAAATTAAAATGATTCTTTTAGAAGAAATTCAGTATTTATTGTGTAAAGGATTTATATTTATTAATCAAGGTTACAAACAAAAATGAAGACTATTAAAATTACCCAAAATGTTGACAGTTGATATGAACTATTATTCCAGCTTGGTGAGGAAAATGTAGCTAAAGTAATCAAGATAAGTTCCATTAAATTCATAAGGAAACTACAATAGTTCTGACACCATTAAATAACCTTTCAAATAACAAAGAATAATCAGTATAAATGCCTTAGTTTGGAGACAAAAATACATTGTGTATGGAATGCTGATGTGTCAAGGGTAGTGGGCCTTGGTCTTTGTGCTCTGCACCCAAAGCCTGAGACAGTTGTAACCTACCCAGGAATGCTGATGATGGGTACCATCTGATGACTAGCTGGAATGAAATTATAAAATATGACTCTGCTTATCAACAGAGACTAATGAAACATTTCCCTTATTGGTGCAGATTATATAAACAAGCCAGATAATCTTTACTATTAAGAAGCCCACTGAGGGAGGCCAATTTTCTATCACACTACATCAATAGCAAATTCATAAAATTTCCATTAATAACACTGTTATCAAAATAGCAAATTCACAGCACTTCTCACAGTTCCCACACTGAGAAATAAAATTCAAGAGAAACATGGTAATATTTCATTTACAATTTACTAGCTTTTCCAGTGTTTCAGAGATACAGGGGTACACCAATAAGACAGAAATGGACATTGAACACAATACACAAATATCTTGATGAATCAGTCTGCTGGAGCATTTTTTCAGGCTAATAAGAAGTCAGTCTCCATCCAAGCAATGTTAAAACTCACAAGGGTAACCTTAGTATGTAAAAATTAAAAAAAAAAAACAAGATTAATTCAGTGTTACCTAAATTACATCATCTATATTTGCCCACATTCTGGTCTATTCCCACTAGTGAAGACCTCCCAATGTGCTCCCAGGCTGTGTCCCAGTTAACATATGACATGTACCCTAGAGAATAATTCAGCCAGTAACAACTGTCCCCCACATCTGGTTTATTTATATATTTATTCTTTTTACCAAGAAAGCTCCAGTACTAAGCACTGACTACAGCTGTACAGTGAATAAAAATCAAGGTCTGGGGAAACACCAACATTAGTCAAGGGCAGGACGGATTTTCTTTTACACTTTATTAAAGGGCATGGTTAGATTATTTGTTTTAACTCTAGGTCAAAATACGTGAGAAAGGAGACATCTTATAATATTTAGGTTGGCATGTGTAGGTGAACACTTAATCCAGAAATGTTCTTTTATTGCACAAATGTTTGAAAATGCAAGCACAGATAAGCTACATGAGTACTTGCAGGCCAGCCTTGCAGATAGAAACCTGACCTGTCCAAACAGTGCCTAAACAACAAGAGAATTTAAATAAGCCACTGGAGGAGACTATGGGAAACTTAATTCATAAGTGCAAGCTAACATAAATATCAATATGAACAGCATTAAAAACTAAAATGAACATACCTTAAAATTGGAGAAAAATAAGGCCATGTGTATACTGGTTATACTATCTCATACTGGTTATTTGTTATGGCACGAGAGAGACAGTACGCAAGAAAGATTCCAATTAACTGAAGAGAAAATATGAACAAAATTAAACACAGATACACACACACATACAATTTCCTGCATGGAAATTGAAGAGCTCAGGATATAGATGTAGTCTCATTTTATTTGTAATTCACCAGTTATTTCCTTCCTTGAGTTTTTTTCTACATGATTATGTCTGCTACTTCTGCAGTGCCTAGGTCACATTCAAAGAATCTAAAATGCCTTACTATTTCACTAGCCATGAACCAGCACTTCATAAGCAACACTAAGGGAAAATTCAGAAGTCATGGGATTTAGAGAAATGCCCAGCTACCCAAAAGAAAAGGATTTTGTTTACAATACACATGTTATCAAGTGACATCCCAACCAATGTGAGAAGGTAATATCTTGGATGTTTTTGTGCTGTCCAATAAAACAGACAATAGCCTTGTGTAGCTATTGAGGACTTAAATGTAGTTAAAACAACCAGGGTTATAATTTTATCTAATAATTAGAATGAAGAAGGCTAAGTGCTGTTGCACTGGTACAGATTTAGATAGTAAGATACATTACTTTATAAATATTTTAGGACTAGCCTTGCATTAGTCTTACTTCTATAACGTTATTTGTATATGGAAAAAAAATACTTTACAATTTCCCTCCAAATCACAATATCAAACTTTTCATGCTACAGTGATCAGTACAACTCATTAAAAACTCAATCTATAAAATGACAAAATAATAAGCACATATGAAATGGAGGCTTGTATGCTCTATAAACAACTCACCAAGGCAGTTGCAGCCCAGGAAAGAAAGACTCTAATAAAGTTTTAGAATCTTGACTGATCACAGAGAAAAAACAAGATTTCGATCAAACTCATGTTTTGACAAAACATGAGGGTACTGCATCTTCCCCAAGTTAACTGTTTTCAGAAAATATGTACCAGGTCTGGGACATAGCTCTGTGGCAGAGTGCTTGAATACTATTGGTAAGACTCTTGGTTCAACACACAAACACACACACACTCATACACACACAAACACGTATGTGCATGAGTGTGAATTTAAGCTCTGTACGCTATATGCTTTCTGCTAGGATTACATTCTAAATCTTTTACAGATTCAAAGCATGACTAACTATGACAATGGAAATTAAAATTTAGAGGGGATTTTTTTTTGCTTCTTTTTTTTGGGGGAGGTGGGGAAGAGACAGGGTTTTATGGTATAGTCCTGGTTATCCTGGAAATCACTCAGAAGACAAGGCTGGCCTTGAACTCAGAAATCTGCCTGTGTCTGCCTCCCAAGTGCTGGTAATAATGGCACGTGCTACTACTACCCAGAAAAATTTAGAGTTATTTGTAGTTGTATAAAACAAAGGATCCAGGAAACCTTTCACTTATATAAAAATAAAAATAAACAAGTCAATTACAAACAAAATCATGAATATACATCCAACGTAAGTTCCATGACTTCACCATAAGAAAACCCATACTGTGATGGGTAAATGACTGCTTTGTGAAAAAACATGACTTTTCTCACATTGTCTTCACTATCCAATCCCTTGGAGCAAAACCTTCATGTCTTAAAAGTGAAACCCAGCTGAGTGTGGTGGGTGGTACATGCCTTTAATGGCATCATTTGACTTAGCAGAGGCTGGTAAATCTTTTTGAGTTTTAGGACAGCTTTGCCTACATATTGAGTTAAAAACCAGAAAAAAAAAATCTTATACATACAAAAATAAAACATTTCCCAAAGAACAAAGAAAACCTACCTGGAAGCAAGCAACTCCAAAAGAAATTCCAGCAACGACTCCCATTTCTGACTCTATAATTGCCATTACCTTTATGAAACAACCCTAATAGGAGAGAAAAAAAACATTAAGTACAAACAAGAGAGCTGTGCTTTTCTTACTGGTGATAATAACTTTAATCATTCAGCTGTCCACAGAAGATGGTCTTGAGCTACTATTAGCCTTGATTATCATTTTACTGAAATCTAGCCTATTTCATCTGCTCTCAGTCTCAGCTAGTTCCACCTTCTGGATTTTGCATTGAAAAGTTACTTGCTAGTTGTATGAAATGAAAAACCGGCTCCCCTGCAAAACTTCAGATTTTGTATATTCATGCATGTAAAAATTAAGTCCACTTTGTATTCCATTCAATAAATCCTCAGATACTATCAAATAAAAAAGTCCTAAAAGGATCCTTACCTCTTCGTTGACTTTATCTGCATCTCTCTGTGGAGAACAACCCTCCAGTTTACAGCAGCTCTTGGGAAATCCTGTTTCTGAGTAATAATTAGTACCTTTCCAATCTCTGTAATTGGTGACACCGCAACAATGCAACTGAGAAAAAAAAAATGTAAAAAGCGTTTGTTGTTCATATTATTGGTTTGCAGCCAAACATGTAACCTAACATAATTTTCTATTGTAATAATGTGCTCAAACCAATATGCACTATACTCAGTGATTCTCTTCTTGATTAATTCAAAAGACTGGCACTTGAGTCTAACAATAAATATGAAAGTTTTAGACTGTCGTTAAGGCCTTGTTGTAGTTGGCCCTAACAGTATTTTTCTGTGATGTAAATGGAAAGAAAGAGAACAAAGACACATGGGTAGAATAACACATAGCTATGCCTTATCATCCCACACTACTTTTCCCAGCACCCTAGCTCCATCCTTCCCTTGGAAGCATTAAGGAATATGTTTCCCTCTGGAAAACACACCAACCCTCACCACTTACAGTACTTTGAATCTTGTCTACAGCTTCACTTCTATAGTCTCTTGTGGAGTTGTACTCCTTCAAAGCGTTTTCATAGTTATTTTTAAAGCTGTTCTTAATCTGTATCCAAAAAAACAAAATGCCAATAAACAAATATTCTAGAAAATATTTCATGTTTCTATATCAAGCAAGTTATTCTCATGTCTGGCTAATGGTTGTATCTTTGATGTGTGGTAAATTAACTTCCATGGTCCAATTCTGTCTGTTAAGTGACATAGTTTGGATGAAATGACTATTAAGTAAAACATTACAATATAATATAATATCTACACATTCAAGGTGTGATGAGAGCATGTACTTATCAATGTGCGCTGCTCTTTGACCCTTCAACCTTTGTCCATGTACAAGTCAGACACCTATGGAACTGATTCTAACAATTCAAATAGCACTTGAATACACTTTCCTTCCTTGTCAAATGGCTTCTCAACAGTGCCATGTTTACTTGATTTTAATATATGAATATTAAACTTTTGGATATTTGCATTAATTATATCTTTTCAAATTGTGACTTATGGAAAGGTATTAATTTTCTGTTATAAACTTTGCATTTTACTTTCCTATTTGTAAAGTTATAAAACTCTAATAGGTGCTTATACATCAAATTATGACTAGAAACTGGTATGATTATGGTTATCACTTTCTTCTAATGATTATCAATCCTACAAATGTTTAATATTCATTTACATTAAAAGTATGTGAGCATTTTTACTAGAAAGCCACTCTTGTCAGATACAGGTTGAAAGATTAGCTTGAAATACAGATTGAAGTGGTTGTTTAAAATATTGAAAGCTGTCGAACTGTGCTACTTAACCTATTTATCTAAGATGAAAGGATAAATTTTAATATACTATGATTGTCTAATTCAAGCTTACCTCATGTCTGAAAACAAATCCTACAATGGCAGCAACTAGTTCGACCAAAAAAATGAGTGTCAGAAACATTGCATACTGTGGAGTAAAAAAATTTTTAAATTTCAAGTTAGTACAAATAAGACTCATGACAGATGAAAACGGGGAGGTATCTGGAATTCTGAGCAATCAATTTAACATATTTTATTGAAAAGAGCAGGGAAAGCAATATCAAAATGTCTACTTAAATATGGAAGCTGGCAGCAGGACGATTTGGGGTTGTTTTGTTTTTCATAAGGAACAGGAAAAAGTTTAAGCAGCTCCAGCCAGTTCTGAGAAACAAAGACATAAGACTAGAACATGTAAGACTTTCCTAGGAAAACCAAGAGTAGTCTAAAGAAATCAGACTCACCAGTTTCAGCATCCATGCAGAAGCTCGACAGGTAGCAAAACAACCAAAGGTGCCCAAGAGAATAATGACAGTACCAGTGCCAATAAGCACAAAAGGCACATTGGTGGCCTTCTCATTTAAGAGGGAAAAATAATTTTCCAGGCTAACCTTTCCCCAAATGCCAATGGCAAGAAGGATAACACCAGTAATCTACGTGAGAAATCAGAGAAAGGAACAATTAGGCACCTTACAAGCTTGTATCTTCCATCACAAACCCAGGAAGCATTTGTGCCTATGAGAATTAATTTATCAGTTTGATTGCCACAAAACGGTGGCTAGGATATTTGAGATTGTGGGGATCTGGTATGGAAGAGGTAAAAAAGTGTTCTGCAAATAAAGGAAGGTTTTGGACAAGTCATCTTCCTTGTCCACATAAGGACATAAATCTATCTGTTTTATTTTGGCATACATGTCTAGAGATCAAAATTTCTTTAAGTAATTTACTCCAGTCTGAGAAAGAAAACCGTCTTGTAAGCGGGAGGGTCAAAAGAGTTTCTGGATTACAGAAACTTCTCGAATCCCCCACCCCAATTTTTAGGGATGGACAGAATACAAAGGAATAGTACACAAAAGAAAACCCAAGGACAGAATGACAGGAATAGAGTCACACCATCCTTACCTGTGGAAAAAACCTCTTAGGAAGCAGTGAAAAGAAAGATACTATTATGCAAAAGACCCCTCAAAGGAGGGAAACAAGCCTCTCCTCTCCGAAGGTTCAGAGACACCTCATGAGCTCTAGGGGCCTTAACTCCTCTCTTCTCCAGTACAGACCTCAATCTCCTGAGACATCCGAGTGCCACTTCAACCACGCATCTCACATCAAGACCCCAGCGCCAACAGCACGATGCCTTTCCCAGCTCCAATCTTGGGGACCCCGCCTCTATGGCCTAGGCCAACTCATCGCCATTGCTGGGGTCTAGGGAACCACAGCCGCCCAAACCTCATCCCACTCCAGACCTGAGAGTCTCCGCTCGGGTCACATCCACCATCTAAGTCAGGATTCCCCGGCCGTTCCCGTGTCTCACCCAAAAGATGAAAGTGTAGATCAAGAGAACGCTTTTGAAACAAGTAATGACTGGTTTAGTCTGCAGCCTCCGAGATGGGGACGCCATGACTAGCCGGAGACCCTGCGCCTCCGCACCAGATCAGCTTGAGCCAGCCAGGCTCGGGAGTTCCCGAGTTTCCCCGGAAACTGCCGAAAACTTACGAGATCTGAAACTGAAAAGAGCCAGAAACACAAGACGATTTTCTAGAGGGTCAAGTCAAAAAAGCTGTCCGGTAAACTGCGACAATTTCGGAGCGCCCCCTGCTGAACCTTACTGAAAACTATATATAAAGTTCTAGTGGTTGCTTTTCTCTCTCTCCCTCTCTCTCTCTCTCTCTCTCTCTCTCTCTCTCTCTCTCTCTCTCTCTGTGTGTGTGTGTGTGTGTGTGTGTGTGTGTGTGTGTGTGTGTGTTGCTGTTCCTTCCATGGAATCTTTCCATGTCAAACCCATCCTTCTTCCCCTAGACTTTTTTTGCTTCATCGTAAGTTGTCTATCACAGCCTGCAGTGCTGGAAGGTCCAGCCTCCCAGGTCCCTAGTGCCCTAAAAGAAAATAATAAAATCAATAATCAGATTGCCCTCCGCCTGAATATGATTTTTGCTTCTCATAGGAACAACAGGGTAGGGATATTGTCTTCTTCTAATCAGATTCATAGTACTTATATAAAATGTACATAAATATAAATGAATTAATGAAGTTATATAACCACCCTGGTGTTCCATTTTACTGCGGTGCATTAGTTCATTCCTTAGTGTTTTCTTTCTAGAAATGGAGGAAAGGAGAAATCAAAAGTCTTTGCACCGTTATGGTGTGCAAAGACTTAATGTCAATATGTTGATTGATATATATTTTTTCTTCCTTCAAAAAATTACCCTTTCATGAGAAAATGGTGATGTCTGGAGAATCTAAGTTGAAACTAACACTGATCACACAAATTGAATGTTCTTTTGTTTATACAATGAGACAGAGCAGTGAAGTTTTATGATTGGATATACAGACATTTAAAATGTGAGAATGAAATGTGCTATTTTCTCCTGCTAAATCATGTGTGTAGGTACTTGCTTTGGTGTTATTATGAACACATTGATCTATACTGTTACATCATAGAATACATATTGAGGTATTGTTTTTTAGCTAAAGTACAATCTTTGAGAGCAGAGATGGTTAAGCGTGTATTATTGCTACAGGGTTAGAAGGCAATGACAGTGCTTATCCAATCTACCTCATTCAATACAGACTTAACAGCCAGGTTATGTATTCACAGAAGACAAGGGGATGATCAAATTTTTCTATTTGAAAATTATTCTACTTTTATATTTATGGTTGTGAGCCTAGCCTTTTAACGGCTGAGCCATCTCTCCAGCCCAACCTGTTACAGAGGGCCTCTGAAAGCCAGAAGAAAACAGGAAACAACCTTGGAACCTGCCACAGAGGGCCTCTGAAAGCTTCTGCAGTATAGACTGTCAAAGCAGATGCTGAGCCTGATGGCCAACTGATGGGCAGAGTGAATGGAATTTTATGTAAGAAGTGGGAAATAGTAAGAACTGGAGGGGACGGGAACTCCACAAGGAGAGCAACAGAACAAGATAATTTGAACACAGGGAACTTCCCAGAGACTCATACTCCAACCAAGGACTATTCGTGGAGATAACCTAGAACCCCTGCAGAGATGTAGCCCATGGCAGCTTCAGTGTCCAAGTGGGTTACATAGTAATGGAAAGAGGGACTGCCTCTGACATAATCTGATTGGCCTGCTCTTTGATCACCTCCTCCTGAGGGGGGAGCAGCCTTACCAGGCCACAGTAGAGGACAATGCAGCCATTTTTTATGAGAACTGATAAACTAAGATCAGAAAGAAGAGGAGAACCTCCCCTATCAGTGGACTTGGGGAGTGGCATGCATGCAGAAAGGGGAGGGAGGGTGGGATCAGGAGGGGAGGAGGGAGGGGCTTATGGGGGGATACAAAATGAATAAAGTGTAAGTAATAAAATAAATAATTAAATAAATCTTGTGAGAAAAAAAAAGAAAACTATTCTACTTGAAATATATGCTACTACAGAATCAGAGGTCAGAAAAGAAGTTTCATTGACTTGACTATGAAGAGTTTTCCTGTGCTTTAAATACTGACCCAGGATGAGTTCCTATAACATCCAACCAGACATTTGTAGTCCAAGAAAATAACGCTTGGAAGATGAGTTACTCCATTGCCAGGCTTTATACTAAATTTTATCCCAAAAATACAAAAATGCAAGGAAAATGAAGTCTCTCTCTCTCTCTCTCTCTTTCTCTCTCCCCCCCCCGTGTGTGTGTGTGTGTGTGTGTGTGTGTGTGTGTGTGTGTTTAAGTCATCAGGAAACAGAAATTAAGCTTTTAAGATCTATTTATCATAGCTAAAGTAGAGCAATTAGGGTGAACAGGCTGTAAGTATATGGAAAGTTTCATTCTGATGCTAACTGACCCTTTCTGAGCATTCCTGTATTAAAAACAACAAACATCAAGGGAAGTCTTGCTAACTCCTTGTCATCCTAAACAGAAAGTTTCCTCTGAAGTTTAGATTTATTCCTTGGCCTGTGAGGTATTTTTGTTGTAAGCCTGAGAGCAAAGTAATATTTCTGTGGCTGAATCAAAAACAAAATAGCTAAAGTTAAAAGACACATTTCCAAGAATGTGTTGACTTTTCCTTCTCTCCATTCCTCTGCCACTCACAACGCTGCTTTGTTTGAAAAGCATTCAGTGCCAAACTAAACCAAAAGCCAACATGAAAATTAGTATTCCTATGGCCACAACACCTTGTACAACTGCTTTCTGCCTTGCTACACTAGCTTTCCCCCTGCCATGCCACCAAATCCAGAAGTCCAGTTTAGTTAAAATGTAGGCTGGCATCTGGATCCCAAACCAAACCAAAGGGACAGGTAATCCCATCTAAAGCAAGTTAACATATCTTTCTCCAGGCCATAAGATAAGTTTATTCTTTCAAGTATTAATAATGACTACAGTACTGAGCACCATGTACCAACCACTGTCACTAAGCCCTTGATACCTGCTCCCTCCTACCTACATCACAAAATTCCTATTATGAGCTCAAATCTACTAGTCTCCTTACTTTACAGATGAAAAACCAGGTTCAAAGAGGCTAAAGTAACTTGCCTAAGACTAAGCCCAACATAACCCTGTTTCTGTCATCAGAACCAGGGCACTCTCTGAAATGAGATATGACTAATGACAAAAAAAAAAACTACTTGATTTGTATAGATCCAAGTTTGTTGCAGCTCAGACTTTGAATCACAAATAGGTGCTCTGTGGAGTCCCTGAAGGGTACTGCTGCCTCTAGTTCCAGCTTGCTCTTGGGGAGAGAGAAGGTTTATCTTTGCTTTTGCCTTTGCTCCAACAGTCCAATCACCCAGGGAGTAATACTATCTCCAAGTGGTGAGGCAGAGAATGCAATCTGTTATTGAATATTAATATTTGCTATTGATTTATCTTTTAGTTAAACAGTGGTTATTCTTAAAAGAGCTGTATACAAAAATCACCACATGATGCCATCTCCAAGACCTACAGCTACTTGACCTCTAGAAAGAGACTATTTTCACCAAGTCTCCTTATCAGGAATTCACTGATCATCTTCTGAAAACTCACAACAGAGTTCAGAGGACCCAGGCTCCAACTGTGGCTACCATATAAGGGTTTTTATACAGGAAAAAGAAAGTGAATTAAATCTCTTAAAAAAATACTGGAAACATACAAAAGATAATAGGGAATAAAAAGATATAACCATTCAGGAAAATAAGCTGTATATGTTGATCAATTGATAAAATTATAATGTATAAGATAGTGTAACATCCAATATTAATAAATAATAAAATAATAAATTTTAAGAAAATAATTGGGAGCTGCTTTTAAATTGTATCCTATATATTTAGCCATGGGAAAATGAAAGCATGTTAGAAAAAGGATAAGGAAGTAAAAATGCTAAGGTTATTATGTGAATAAAAGGTAAACGTACTCTGCCTGAAGACATTATGTAGCAGCTCAAATTAATTTACCTGTTGGTGACAGTGAAATACTGGGATGATTTAGACTATTTTAAAAATTTAATTAAAAGAGTCAGTCCTTGAGTAACTAATATGCTGTTACTTCCAGACCAGCCATGAGTTTACTGAGCCATGTGTTAAACAGGGATTGGCTGAAAACTGGATGAGGTCATCAATTAAGCAGTATGTCCTAGGTGCTCACAGGGTTTAAAAGGAGGTGCAGCGGCCCTGCCCCATAGTCTTTTCTGTAGTTTCTGGACATCTAGGCAGCAGGATGTAGAGTTCATGAGTAGGCACTACAGAATGTGACTGATGGTCTAAATATCAGAGTGGTCAGACTACAAGTACTAATAGGGCTGGGATATGGGAAGGAGAACATTGTCACTGAGATGGGGTGAAAGTGGACTTTGAGAACAGGAAATATCTTTACTGTTCAAATGTTGGAAAGGAATCGGGAACAAGCCTTGTTCAGAGCATAATCTTTTTGGCTTAGTGTGAAGTAAGAAAATTCATGTTAGCAAGGCAATGGAGAATGAGGATTTAATAGAGGTTGGGGGTTAGAGATTGGGGTGCCACAGAAGAGATCTGATTTAAAGGCAAGCTCTTGCTTCTGATGCTTCCCATGGCTGATGGCTGCCAAAGAAAATCATTTAACCTTAATTCTTGGAAGTTGCAGGAATTTAATAGGAAACAGACAGAAATCCCTACTAAATATTAATGTAACACAAGTAGAAAATATTTAAGGAAAATATTTTCTTACATTTTTGGCATCAAGTATATTCTTGCCCAAAATGCAGAGAAAATAACATTGAACTAGAAAAAGAAAAAGATTGCTGTTGGTATAATGTTCTTGTGGAATGTTCTTGTTCTCATTCAAATACTGATTTCTCCACCCCACTGTCTGGTGTCAATCGGGACATTGCATTCTGATGTTTATTCTAAGCATCACCTATCTCAAATTTGTGTAAACATGCCACCATTTGTTCTCTGTGTTGTCAACAAAACAACCAGCCACAATACTGAGTAATGGAGAAAATAAGGTGGGACATCCTGGCCTGGAGGGGAGGAGAAAGAAGCAAGTGGGAAGAGATCTGAGAGGATGAGATTGGCAGGACAGGACTTGGAATCATGAGGAGAGATGAACCAGACCTAAAATATAACTAAAGCAAGTATAATGTGGAAATGTGAATGGGAAG